GGATCATCCAAGTAGTAGTAGTATTTTTATCATGGTGCAGTCACAGTTGAGTAGGGCTTTTGCTGCGTTCCACTATCCCCGAAGTAGCTAAAAATCCATTGATTTTATGAGATACAACGTTCACTGAATTTCCACATTTTTCTCTCCTCTAATGGTGAGGTTAAATACGTATGTTTCGAATAAACTGTGAAGAATTTGCTGTATCCAAAGTCCTCTGCGCACTTTGTTTAGCGTTTTCTAATATGTTGTATTCTTTCATTTCACCAGTTCATATAAAAGCCACAATCGTTCGTTTTCACCTCCACACACACACACACACACACACACACACACACACACACACACACACTATAAGTCGGATTGTACAGAGACCGAAGTCAGCAAAATCGGTTGGTGACTAACATTCGCTCTAGAGAAAATGTGTTGGTGTTTTCCTAATGATAGTTAACGTGTTCTTGTAGAAAGCTGTACGACCATGTAATGAATTGTTGATGGCCTTTCGCCCAGTTTGGAGATACGTTTGGGAATGCGCGATACAGGACATAACATGTAGCAGTACTTGCTGGCGCACATCGTAAACCCTGATCACATACTAGAATAGCGGACCAAATAGAATTTTTCGGAATCGCTCATCGTTGTTCTGTTCACACTCGTTGACAGTCCAAGAATGTTCTTATTTGGTTGTACATGCATCGCTCCTCGGTCAATCCAATTTTCCAATTTACGTACCAGTGTGTGAAACGCATATATTAGTAAGCTTCCTTTTCTGTTCCTATATGGCACCGGCTGGCTGAATTTTCTATTCATTTGTGGAAGGATATTTTTACTGTTTTCTTTTTTCACACGGTTCACACAGAATCCCCGTACTTGGTCTGCACGGATGTTATTTATTTGGAACAAAAATTAATGAAGCTCATATGGCTTGATGATGATGGTCTTCTCATGGCGGCGACACGAAACGGACCAGGTGTAAGTTCGTGCGATTTGTTCTAATCACCGACGTTTCAGGTCAGTGTTTGAATGCCTGCACGCTACGAAGCTTTTGTTATTTCCCATCCCTGTGGTCAGTTCCGTTCTTTCGTCAAACCTTTTAATCTGTTGCAGAAAGCAGTTTGTTTACGTGACAGATATAAGCGATGTTTTGGTTAGACGCATCAGGTACTGCCATCAAGACGAGACTACATCTTGACGTGATGTGATGGTTTGTGCACCTCTCTGACTCAGCGAGCTACACAGGATGGCTTTTATCAAGCCCAAGATCTAATCATGCCTGGAAGGTCGAAGGGTAGAGGTCGGACAAAGTCTAGTCCCCTGATCCTCCAGATTGGGGGTTCTGAGTTGGTAAACCGTGTTGCAAGAGTAATTGATCCAAGTAAATGGTCCCCCACTTCGCTTCACCCACTGCCTTGCGGCTAGGTTCTTGTCAGAGCTAAGCGCTTTGGTTGAGCACCCGAATTGTTCTCCTGCTCAGTGGCTGGATACCCTAGCAGCACTCGTCCATCAAACCTCAGTGCATACATATTGCGAGTTTGGCAGCTATCAGTGAAGTTCGCTTCTCTGTATTTTGCTGTACGATGATGATGATGATGCATGTTTTTTTAAATTGTCCTCCCAAAAATGTTTCGTGAAAATTACAACCCAGTTAGACCTAAGGGGATATACTATTCATCCACGGCATACTTTGATTTCGGTTTCCCTTCTCTGTTATCCGATCGCAATTATTTATTTATCCTCTACAATTTCTTTTTCTATCATTGGCGATAATTCTCCAGGTTTAATTGTTGGCGACCAATACTGCAGACCCTTTCAGACTGCTTTCAGACTGAAAGCACCCATAGGTTCGCTGTCTACACAGCGTGGTGTTCAATCGTGAATTCCCAGACAGATTTCGTTCATCTTAAATAAAGCGTTAAAGATGTGTTGGTAATCAACAAACTCCTAAGGGCTGACATCAGTACAAGGTGACCTTGCTTTTTGTGAATTCATTTTGACTAAAATAAAAACCTATTTAACAAGCGTTCGCTATGGACATGGCCCCCCTCCGCCCTGCTCTTCTATTCCTCGTTCAGATTCTTCTCCGCGTCAAATCCTGTGTGATTCCTGCCGAGTTTGGGCCTAAGTTGTGCACACTTCAACTTCCAGTCGGCTCAGCCATGCGTTGGATTAATGCAAGCTGCTTATGTTCACCAGCCGAAAATTCGTCGTCAGGACTGGACCCCTTGCTTATTGTCGGTACCCGTGATGGCGGCCTGTATACATTTCGGGTAAGTGAAATCCTATCCCGTCGCGTCTTGGTCTACATAGAGTTAATTAATCTATAGGGTTTCCTGTCGATTAGTGTCCCCTGATGATCGTGTATAGTCATTGTCGCTTGTTCAGTTACTCCTTCTGTTGTGAGGTACTACTCACATTTGTGAGTAGTTTGCATGCGCCAAGAAGCGGTTATACGGGAACATTCTGAATTTTGCCTTTTCGTCTAGATGTTTCTGACTTTGCGAACCCACTGTTTTACCGCTTCTGGACATGTGTATCATTCAAGGTTAGTGTGACATTGAGCGTGAGCGAATGGCGTTTTGCAGTCGTAGTTAACTATCAATGACTGTCGGTGAATATGCTTCCTCGACACGGAATACTGAGAATTTGCTCCGAAACGTTCAATCCACGTTATGACAGAACTGTAATAAAGTTCTGAACCCTAGGCTAAATGGGACTCGTTACGTTGAATTTTCACACCGCAATCTCCACGGTGTTTGCTCGAAAAATTTAGTTGACGTGAACCATTGTAGTAATCGTTGTATTTTTGGTGTTTGTTTCATTTCGTTATCGGTGAAAGGGAAGTGCGGTTTCATTAGCTTCATATGCCAACCGATTCGAATCTGCTCGATCCAACAGTTCCTCAGAAATCTTCTGTTAACTTAAAATAATACCAAGTTGATTTTTGTCCATCTGGTTCTATCGCCGAAGTGTCTTGTTTCTGCTCCTGAAATCGCTGTTGATGATACTCTGAAAATACGAAACTGCTTTGTATTCGATGAGATTGGACTGCGTCTAATGTTAATGTTACATTAATAATGTTTGATAAAGTTCCGATCTGTATCTCGTATTATTTGCTAATTATTATTACTTAGAAAAATATCATTTATTTGGTAGTTGAGTTACTAGAAACCGTACAAGATCACTAAAGATCTAAATACAAAACTGCTCAAATGGTCCAAGTATTAGGAAACTGAAATTACTGTTGATAATGGATGGAGTTCCCGTGTAACACAATTTCTTTCACGTCACAAGTTTATTTTTTCAATACCATCTTTGTGGTGACGTCATACATTCACCCCGTATTTGTGTTTTCGACCCTCTTATGCGTGACACATTTCTGGGATTGCGGAGTTCAGATCAATTTGAAGGAATTGCATGACGCAACCCTCAAACCTGTTTGGAGTCTGGAAGCTTGTCACGGTCGTGGAGGATGTACGGCAGTTCTGTGCCTTCCACCATCTAATGCATCAGATAACATGTCAGCAGAGGTGATTTCCTGCGGTCGAACCCAGGGCGAGTTGCGCTTTTGGAAAGTTCATCTAACCAGCGGGTCTCTTGTTCTTCGTTCTCTGCTACCCAGTTCTCCATCTCTCACGTGGGTGGAACGATTCTATGCGGTGGACGATGGTCGCTTATTTGTCCTAGGTTTTCAATCTGTAAGTATATTCTCTTTGTTATTTAAAAAATTCAATCATTATTGATTTAGTGGATTGAAAAATATGTATCAGCTGCACTCGCCTGTTTTTGATCCACTCATCTCGAGAAAGTTATATATAGATTTTAGCACAAGCAGTTATGCCTCACTGAGTTCCATTGTATGATAAGCAGTATAGGGAGTGAGCGCCATAACCACGAGTGTTTGGTGTTCATTTTGGGTATTGGGCAACGTAGACCCTGGAATTTCAATCGGCGAACCATATCATGCGTAGTATTGAGCCGATAGGCAGCAAATCTGCCACATGCTCTAGATGATTCGCTGAAACGAATCAACCAAGTTGACGTGGCCTACTTGTACTTGTCTATCTAATACTTTCGTTCAGATTGGCCACCAAATACTGAGCGACCTTAACAAGTATTGTGTTGGAGGAGGACTGGTGCCCAATTAGACCGGTGAGATTCCAATGCCGCGTATCATTACAGTTCACACTATATGGCTCTACCATGGATTTGTGCAGGGATCACCGTCTGCCATCGTTATTTTCTTAGCTGTACGAGTGATCCACAGCTTGTTCTTAGACAAAAAATTTCATCAACCATCCTTGTAGTTCACCGCCATCACCGTCGACAAATCCACCTCATATAATGTCTACTTAAGCTGGTACTCCAAAATATTCGCTAGATAGCCAGCGCCACTCTTCTTCCGTCTGTCTGCACTTCACAAAACTGTTCTTCGGCTGATTGTTTTTATATTTATACTGGTGACAAATGAAAAACTGATTCTCCAAGATTTCAATTACATTGGCACTCAGTATCAACTACAGACTCCGATGTCCTTATAAAAATTGTCTATCATAGACCGGAAACAGCGCGATAAAGAAGAGACCTGTCATTTCCTTACTTTTTAGCGGTTGGTCCCTTGGAAAGGATAAGCCAACTCCATAATTGTGTGGTCAGTGAATTTCGCTTCACTGTATTATACTGCACGATGCTGATTATGATTATGGTGTGTAGGCAGCATGACCATTGTGTTTTACGGGAGTTTGGTACGCGTGACGCTCTAGGCATCACTCATCTTTTTTGGAGGACACGCCTCTACCCTCTGCACAGCCAAATGCCGGTGGCTCCGTAGGAGCTCATTCGCCATTCGGTAGAAGTAGATGGAACCCAGGGGTTCGTGCCTCCCAGCTAGTTGGATGGGTTTTCTTCATAGCCGTCGGGTCCGGTGGTTGATCTCGTCCGCCTATTCAAGTCAACTCAAGTATATGCTCTATGCACCCTGAAAGATATTCAGCAGCCACATAGTAAAAGTAGGGCCAATAAGCAAGAACAATTACACAAAGCAAGGAAAAAAAGAAAATTTACGATATGAGTGAGTCTAGTTTAGAGGCGATACGTTCTCGATTACGGAGAAATTGAACAAGATAAGGCACCACAGAAGGTAGGTGTTAGGTGGTTGTGTGAGGAAATATATGGTTATAGCGGGATAGAGGGGAAGAAGAGAACGCACTTTATAAGATTGGCATTTAACGGATGCGAGGGGTTGTTCATGATTTTTGAGGATAACGGAAGGCACTGCTTTGTGTGCTGTGAAATGATGAAGTGACAGAGAGTTTCTCGGGCAATCCCGCTACTTCTAATTGCGTGTGTTCAGGGTATGGAGAGTAACTTGAGAATCCTTGCGAAGATTACAAGAGACCCGTACAGTTAAAGTGGCAACATGCAAACAAAAAGACAACGGCAGATCAGGAAGCGATTGACGGATTGAGTTTTCAGACGTAGCATATGAAATGATAATTTCTTGACCTTACCAAATACAGAAATAACTTGACCAGAGTGGATTAAATTCCGACTGATTAACATAAAACACCGGACTTTAACGGTATGTATAATGGTAACATCACGTATGTTTCTCAAGGAGCGGGATTGTAAGTGATTTGCATAATGGTACCGACTGAGAAGCGACAACAGCATGCCAGCGCACTTGGAGGGAGTGTGAGTTGTGTGCAGTGGACCATTCAGCAAGGTTGTGAAGGCCAAGTTGAAGGTTGGAAGTGACAGATGTATCAGGTTAGGCAATTCCGACCACAGCCTCGCCTGCGCATGTAATAAGAAGGGAATTTCGAAAAGTAGGCATGGATGAAATATCAGTGGAAAAGAGAAATGGGGACAATGCCACCCTGTAGTATGCCTAATGTAGAGATTAAGGGAAAGCAGGAATGAGCAAGATAGCGTGGAACTGTGATCGAAATAGTAATTGAAATAGTCTGTGGATACCGCAGCTATGGTCTGATATCCCACTGGGAGACAAAATATTTAACAACTTGTGCCTGACAACATCATTGAAGGCGTCTTTATAGTCTAAGAAACTCGTTCTAACAACTCTCTTATTTCCATCGAGTGCTCATGGAGTATAGTGAACCAGAAAATTTAGAGTATCTAGTGTGCAACGAGAGCGGTGGTACGCAAACGGACTTCCATGCGATGGGTTGGAAGTTTAGTTTTCTGTTTTAGCCACCGCACTGACACACAGACTTTCAACAACCGGGTATAGATCGGTTTTCCAAGCACTTCTTCCTTCCGTCCTTCTGATCTAGCAGCTTTTCGTAGACGTTTTTTGATTGAATTTACTGTACAACATTGGGAAACTTTAACAAGGTCACTGTCGGAAAACCCAAGAGGGAGGCTAGCAGATTCGGAAAAAAGGCTGGCGTCACTGACAGAAGATATGCAAATAGGCATTCAACTTTGTTGGGAAGCTCAGTATGTTTATAAAACCAAGAAGTCAAGAAGCTGATGTCGACACGATTGAAGTCACTACAGATTGTAAATAGCGGGAGAACAAGATAAATCATTAAAGCTATAGAAAAAG